TCTTGCTGGGTATACATGTGGTTAAATGGTATATTCACTGGGCATATTCGGTGATCACACCGTTTCATATACTGAATAAATCAAGAAACGTGACTCATAATGTTCTTAACATTTCACTCATACCGGTCAACAGTCATTATTTGAAAATATCCATCCATCCCATGAATAGTTGAATGTAGACATGGATGTGAAATACACTATGAACATCTAACAAAAGAAACACAGTGCACTCACAGTGAGTGTCCATGGTTATTACACCGTACTTCTTTTGTAAGATGTTCATAGTAGTAGTCGGGTATTCCAGTGAACCCAATACTGCAAAGTGAGGATTTTTTTTACATGTTTGGTAGCCGTAGAGTCACTTTTTAGGTACAGCCTGGGCTGAATGCAATAGAAAAAAGGGCAAGGCTGTGAGTGAAAATCTGAAAGAGTTCACCCATGTCTATACTTTCACAGAAGTACCTGGTGTGGCTAGGTCTCCTTTTCCATCGTCCCTAACCATGCCAAACCCAGCGAGGTTCTATGTGATTATACACTAAACTTCAGGGGTTAGGGTAAAGTGAACGATCCAAGGATCATACAATACTTGGCCAGTTTGCATGATGTTTGGATGAAAGGCCCTTTTTTGAAGAATACTTATGCCTAGACGTCTTAGGCTCTTACTTTTGGAGGATGCATGGTCTCTACAACATTACACCATACATTACAGAAATCTGTGTCGATTGTGATTTGTTTAGGGTCATCTGCTCCCCTAATTTGGATATTTGGCTTATAACAGGGTCAACATAGAACAAAGTAGACTGACTTTTTGTTAGGTAGTTGAGTGTTCTGAACTGTTTTAGTCTGGCACATGTAATGTCATGAAATCTGTGTGTTTAAATGCCTTCGTGTCTTTCACCCAAGGTAGCCAGGCAAGTGTATATATATCTTTGTAATCTGAAAAGGGTCCATTTCCCTCAGCATGTTTCTATGTCACTATCACAATTTTTCTTTTACACTGAACCTTAAGCGTGCCTGCTGATCTCTAACAGTGTTTCAACACCAATTTCATGAAATTCACAGATACCGATTATTAGATTTGTAGAGATTTTCCATGCAGCATGTCCTAATGTATACATTTGACTGGGCATACAAAAGATTGGTCATGTATGGATGGAAGTGGGAATTTCTAAGGTCTATCATTACTTTTTACCGTGTCCATTTGGATTAAAACATTGTCACTGTCACACCGGCAACCTAAAATCTTTCTTTTGCATCCGATATTTGATGTTGGATTTCTTTGTTCAAATGGCTCTTTTAGTATTATCCCTGACAGTCCTCAGTCCCCCAACAGGTGAAGGATTGAGGGCTGTTAGGGTTAACCTTAACAGTCCTCAGTCCCCCAACAGGTGAAGGATTGAGGACTGTTAAGGTTAAGGCACTTTGGGTATACGTGTATGTTGGCACTGACATGAAATTTACTGTTAGTTGCAGAAATCTGATTTCAAAAGAACAGTTTAAGACATTGGATTTTGCTTTCTTCCTGTTGTGACGCACGAAGATTTTCAGTTCTACTGACTGTAATTAATGGTTGAAGTTGGTGCAAGTTGTCTGCCCAAATGGGCTCACATTTTCTGAAATTGGGTTGTTAAAAATCATTGTGCGTACACTTTTCGATCCATGGTTAAAGATATCAATACAGAGAGGTCGAGGTGTTTCCAAGTATTTCTGTTACTTAGTCTGAGGCAAAGTGGACAGTTCATGGAAAAGGAGGAGAGACTGAGCATAAGGTGACGGTTTGTGCTTTGTAATAAAACCAAACACTTTGATCCTATATTTCTAGATTTGTTGTCATCTAATTTTCAACCAACCCATTTTTTTCTCAATTGTAAAGAGAATTGTTTTGTTACTAACTGCAAGACTGTGCAGAATATAATTGAATTGAAATCTCCATTTTATCATAATAGTTGAAATTTCATTTTGTATTTCTTTTACAGGCAAATGTCTACATTTCTTTATGGCTGCAGTATGTGTCTTGTTTTAGCCCTTCTGTGCTCCCTTACCTTTGCAAAGGGGCACTGGATTTGTGAAATTCAACATTCTTGGCATGTTATTTGATTCCAGCGATACTTTGTAAATCAGAACTTGTAAGCAAATGGCAGGTAGGATGTTGTGTGCATGTGAGCCATTTTGAAGTATCGTTGAATCATGAAAATACAGTAGTTGAGTTGCCAAAGATTTACAATGATGTCAGTCACTTGTTGCTTCACAGAAAAAAAACAAACACAGGGTGATCAGTGATAAGAAATACCTCTGCGACGGTTCATTTGATTAGCTTTTAACTGACCTGACATGAGATTGGATAATCTGTAACGACTTGATTAGAACTCGTCCATAAAATTTGGTTTTGCCTTAAATGTATGCCTTATTAATCTAAGGCAGGAATCCAAAAATTGCCTTGCATTTATTGCATGACGTGTGCATACATTTCATCAGGGCTTTACTCATTTTAAATCTATTAGTAAAATTACAAAAACCATATGATTCAGGTGTTTAATGGTATTGTCCTTCAAATTGCAATTTTTTTCCAGTTTTCTCACATTTTATTATTTATTTTTATTAATGCCTCTTGCTTTGATACTTGTATGATAAATTTGGTGGGTTATCTCTGTTTAACAACAAAAAATCACTTATAGAAAATTATGCAGTTCTTGAAACAATATAAGTTTTTCATTCAAATGTATCAATGGGAAACTAAGAATATTTATATTTAAAAAAAATCACTCCATGATATTCAAGTTTTATTTACATATTCATCAGATGATGCAAGTACATGTAGATCATTGGTAAATGATAATCACATTTAATAGCTAGAAAAGTCAAGTGCAAGAAGTGTGTCTCTGACATAGTAATTTTGGATAAGTAATCCTGTTTTGAATATCTTTACAAAATATATCCCTTTTAATGAAATTTTAAATATTGTAAACAAGTTTTTGACTCCAGGAGTCATTAGAAATGCACGATTATAACCAATCATCTACAAAGGAAGTCACATGGTAACACTCAACCAGTCATGTTCCTGATTGAGCAGTTTTTAGACATTGTATAATAAATGGCGGTGTATATTATGTTGGGTTAAAGAACTGATTTCCAGATCCATGATGGAGTGAAGTAATTAATTCATGAAAACCTGATCAAGGGATGAAAAGTCTTTGCAGTATCCAGAAACTTCTCCAAACGCTTGAGTATGTTTGGGCTTAAGTGTCTTAGATTGTGCTATGAAAATCCCTCTTTAGGCAATAGTTAAGGTAGGAAATAGCTTTTAGGTACAACCATGGGACTCTATCTCTTCTTTGAAGAAGTGTGATTCTGAAAAGAACTGGTAATAAGAGTTTTCAGACAGTGTACTCTGAAACATTGAGAACACTCTCACTACACTCCAGAACCACACTTCTTCAAAGAAGAGGTCGATTCTGTAATGGTACCAAGAAGCTGTCGTCAGTGGTGTACCTCATCAGTTCACCATGCAAAGCTTCAAATGGTAACAAGCAATAGTTGTTGCAATGTTGTGGTCTTAAATCAGGTGTCCCGTGAGTGTTAAAGTGGACAGGTGCCTGCATTCAGGTAATTGGTAACCTGTGGCCAATGCTGAAGGCACCAGGCACGTTTTTTTTTGTTCTTGACCCGAACGCTGCTTCTAGTTATTGCATTTTGCAAAGGCTTATTACATCCAACAATATCTACTTGTAAATGTAGGAAGTTGGTAAGCAGTACATGTACTGTACGTTCCATTGTCGCCCCATTCTTGCATAATTGCCACTAGCAGTAGACCTCTGTGTGCACAGCACAAGGTGTAGATGTGTACAAAGTGCTCTGTCTGAGAAAATCTAACACATGGTAGATTTTGGTTCATTTGACAGAATCGGCTGTCTGTAAGATATTGTTTGATTCAGCGTCTGTGGAAAGTTTACTTTGAATTTGCCTGATGTATTGCAATTAGATACGCATACTATTGAACATGATCTCCAATTTTGCAATGGACTATCACCACTTAAACCAGTTCAGCTGTGTTCAGATATATGATACTGAACGGGCTCGTCCCCAAGTGGTTCACCTGTCAGAACTAATATGGTATCCATCAGTCCAAAATTCTTGATTGAATTCCAAACGTATATATAATGAATCTCCTCCTCAATCTCCTGTCATCTCTAAATGCCTGAGGAGCGGAGAGTTGGTAGAGAAAGGGGGAGTGGGAGTATAATCCTTTGTATGTTGTGCATTATTTGTGTAGTAATAATTCTATAATTGAGGCACTGCCAAAGCAGATGCATTATCAATAAAGTATTTGCCTTCTAAAGGGCGCTTATCACATAATGGCTTCATGATGTATTTTTTTCATTTAGTGTGGGGTGGGTATGAATTACTTAAATTATTCATTTTTCAAATCATTTTGATTTAAATTTCACTATAATTTGTGCACAATTTTTTGTTGTAACAATTTCTATTTTCTTTTAATGTAGCAGTTCATTACCAGTGCAGCTGCAGTCGGGGGGGTACTGAAAAGAAAACTTGGGACAGCCAAAATTAAACACAAACATCTTTCTCGAGTTCACAAACTGTACATTTTTTTTAATAAATAGCATTGGCATCTTGCCAGCTGTACGTTTTCCAACAAGGGATTTAACTTATGATGTGCAATAATACTGACTCTATAAATTCATAAATTCCAGTGATTCAAATGGACAAAAAACACCACATTTTGATGGCACTGTATATTTGGTCCAAGCCATTGTATGTCAGTCTACTCAACAAAGAATAACCCAGAATGAACCCTGGCTGTTTGGAAGCAAAAAAGGTCATTTTACGCATTACAAAAAGATATGAATATATTTAGGCCAAAGTACTGTGTAAGTCTTTTTACGTGGATGAGACAAATTTTGTTACATTTAAAACATTTGTAGATACAGTATAGAATTTTTTTCATGTAACTTTCCCTGCAACTTCTAGATACTCTTGAATGTGTAAGAGCATTTTGAAGGTTTCAGCGTATCTCTCAGGAAAACTGATAGCAGATGGAACGTGGACAACCACACCATGATTTCCATCAATTCTAGTAAAGAAATGTCACTTTTATTAATGCCTCTATCCCCAAACAAAGAGCAGAGAAGGCAACACACCATTCCCACTGGTATCAGGGGATTTACAACAGTCTCGAAATTGCAAGAAAACTGGTATTCAACGATGCAGTGTCACAGTTTATGAAATATTTATAACAGTCTCGAAATTGCAAGAAAACTGGTATTCAACGATGCAGTGTCACAGTTTATGAAATATGCTGTCTAGTGACAGGTTTCTTGGAATAGATCCAAGACTTCCCATTCAATTTCCCAACTTGATGTTAAGGATGGCCTCTTGCATTCTAAGCCATTAATGTGGGGCAAAATTGAGGCCTAAGAGTTGATGCTTTACCAAACTAAGGCTGCATCCAAATCTCTTGTCTAGAGCTAGGTCTAGGTGCTCGCTCCAATGGAAATGCGTGGAGATGTGTAGACAATAGACCTAGCCGTAGCTCTGGAAGCCCGTTTCAGACACGGCCTTAGTACTAACGTTGCAACCATTTTTTTGAAGGTATGACACTGAATAACTTCAAAATGCTCTGCAATACCTCAGAACAATTCTAAGTGTCACTATCAACACTGAATGGCAATTTAGCCACTCTGCCCGACTTCTTATTTAAAGCCATCTATAAGTTTGTCTCAATGTCAAAAAATAAAACCCAACTTAAAGGAAAGACACATGCACGTTTGTTGAAAAAGATACCAAAGTTTCATTAAAAATTGGCAAAGTGCATCTGAGAAACATCTCACATCATCTTAGGATGTTGCTGTCCTGCTAGTAAAATCCTGAGATTTCAGATCTCAACTTATCAAACTAGTCTTGGCTACAGTGATTGGGGGATTACTCTGAACAACACATGTAGCTGACAGAGGGTTGTGGATGCACACTGTAAGTGCAGAGTCATATAGCATATAACACTGTAGCCACATGCTCCAATTTCTGAAAACACAAATCCCTGCACATGACTTGGAAATAACATTTGGGACACCTATGCTTTGGACAACAATAGTGTGGCTTAGAAAAAATAAGAAAAACTCTGGCAACAATGCAATGGGTCACACATGTGATCGAGGTCTCCCACATGCTCCAAATTTCATATGCCTCAAAATTCACTGGATTCTCCTTTTAATTAAGCAACCTAATCATTACGGTCTGGAGCATTAAAACCTCTAAGTTTCTTCTCAAAAACTTAAAAAACACTGAACAAAAACCTTTCCCAGGTGATCCTCTAGAGGGACGCTGCACCTTTGGACTTGAGAAACAAGCAACTTAAAGTCATTTCAGTTTGCGGTTCTACACTGTACATATCAAAGCTTGGAACACACCGTTAGTAAACGCAAATGCAGAAAACCTTTTAGCACTGATAAATAAAACATTTATGTACTTTAAAGTTACATCAAGATTTTGCTATTAATTGACAAGGTTACTTTGTGCAACAGTCTTTGGATCCAACATGTACGTGTAGGACTCATCCTCTATGCAAAGAGGTAGGGCTGTGGCCCGGTCATTTTCAAGTAGAACTCCTGTCTAATTTTCGTCACACTTAATCATTCACACTTACAGTTTGTTTCTCAAAGTTAGAATCATTTCATGTAACTCTAATGAGCCACTTTAAACACAAGTTTTTCAAAAAGGCTAGGCCATTAAAGAACAAAGCGTGCAAGTCGGAACACGTTCAGTGTGTAAGGGTCAGCATATGACTGAGCTGAATAGACCACGCTGACAGGGCTGACCCTGTGTGAAATTGCTGTCCCCGAATGACTTCTAATGCATTACATTTTTGGCATGTACTGTTGGAACACCACACTGGCTCATATTTGAGAAATTTGAATTTAAATGGGCCAACAGTTCATGACCCATCACGTTTAGCATAAATCTCAGAAATTCTGGGGGAAATTGCATGGGTTATGGACAGTGGGAAAAATACTCCCAAATGACAAGGGCACACAAAGCCATCACAATAAACCACTCTGGTATTCAAACTGCACATGTACACAAAGATTTGCAACTTTGGTATCAATACAGCAGAAAAATGCATAGTCTACAGGGTTAAAGGTAAGTACTGACTAGGCCCGAATTCTGCAATAATTTGACCAATTAGAAAAGAGAGCATGGCAACTTTTGTTTCCACAAAAGTCAGGAATACATAACATCATAAGTAACATTTCTGGCAGACATTTTGAAAACAAGGACAAGAACAGCAAATTGTTGAGTCCAAAAATGAAAATCACAAAAGTCTTGATGTGTGCATACTCAGATGAAATACCACACTGGCTTTATTGCTGATTGTTGCAATGCAGAGGAACATTCTTCAAGTGTAGTTGCCATACCAAGAACTAAAGTACATGGACCATAGTTTAGAGGACAACCCCAGCAGCGTATCCCTTCCTGATGTGTCAGAACTATCATATCCAATTCATTTCTGATGAATGCATAACTTTGCTGAGCGACTCCTAAAAGCCATTTGGTGGGCTATACACATACACAATGTTATGAAATTAGGTCCAAATAGGTGTGCAAAATCCCTTATTTGGAAAACTTGATGAAAGATTCAGAAAGACTATTTGAATGTGCAATACAGTAAAATCTGCAAGAAAAAAAGTGTAAAGAACATCACAAACACCCACAAAACGTCAACACAAAAACACCAACACAAAAGGACTATCGTAAATAACGGTTTGTAAGTGTCCGTGTATATCTACCATTGATGTAATCCTAAAAATTGTTTTTCATGAAAATCTGCAGGTAAAAACAAGAAAATTAGCCTGCAGATTTGTACAATACATTAGTTGCACTACAAAGTGATGGGCAGATATTGTCCACCCTCGCTGGTTCGCTGCACTACAAAGTGACTTACAGGTATTGTCCATACATGTAGCTGCATGACACTGCACTAAAAAGTGATGCACATGCGTAGCACATGCACAAAGTCTGCGCATAAAGCCTCACTTCATGGGAAGTTCAAACAATGATATTCAACATGATGTGGCCATCAATGCACATGTGTACATGTCTATCGCCCAAGAAAAACAAAACGCAGCTTTCTTTTGATGAGGGTTAGAGCCCTCTAACTACAGTTTTTTATCAACACTATGCCCGTTCATTTTAATTTCAAATTACGAAAATTCCAATTACCTTTAACTCTTTGATTTTGAAAATGGCTGTCTTATGGTCAACACTACATGTACATTGTAAAGAATCTACACTGTACATGTGCATTTATTTCAAACTAATCTTGACTGAAGGCCCCAAACCACAATTTACAATAATCTTCATGTACATAAAAACCACACTTAATGGCAGTGTTTCAAATAGGGCATTCTTTTCACAATGTACATGTACATGTATATACAGATGCAGTGTTAATTTCACCTTTTTTCTCGACATTCCTGCTACATTTTTGTTTCCAATTTTTGCAGATCCACATTCTCATGCATTGCATCCCAAGAAGAAGTATTGGTGAGTATGTCATGATTCACGGTCTAAAACTCTGGTGACCATAGCAACTGGTTACCAAACTGCTTTGTATCACATGAATATTCATTGAATAAGCCTTAAAAATACACTACTACACGTACAACGTACATGTAGGTTCATGAGGGAATACTGTAAATGCACTTTTGAAACAATGTGGCAAACTTTGGACACTGATCAGAGAATTTTACAAAACTTTAATCCAACTACCGGGTACATGTTCGTGTACCTATAACACAAAATCCTGTCTCAGCACTGTAACCTTTACCAACTTTCACCCCCTGTGACAAACCTATGCAAAAATAAGTTTGGATAATAGTTTGAGTGTTAAATGACCAAAAACGTCCGTGCCTGCAGTGCTTCACATGTAAGTATGTCCTCAATGCAATGTTACTCTGGCATTGTGAGAAATCCGAAGATGAAAAGCCAAGTATGACCTGATCCAAAACAGACTTTGACTCAACAAATATCGACAAGGATTTTCACACCAGGGAACAGACCGACACCTGAATTATTGCCAAACAACATGGCCTGACCACAGAGATTTTACCATTTCTTGAACAATTATTATACTTTATTAAATTCAATGCTATTTCAGTATCAATATCCTAGGTTTCTGATATTGTTCAACCATTTTTTGCCAATTTTTATCTGACTGTACTTCAAATCTAATCTTTTGTTTTGTGTTCTTGAAATGATTTCATTGATCTGGCATGGTCATGTGTCAAGTTTGTAAATCCTCAATATACCAGTTCATGTCCAGCAGGACATGTCTCC